ACTGTCGGGGATATAGTACTGTACCTTCATATGACTACTCATACGTATACAACAGAAAAAAACGTCGCATGGACTTAGTGAAAAATGGAGATCTAAATGAAAAAACGTTGCATTTCAGCAAGTATTATAACATTTTACTTTTATTTTAGGCCTTCTTCACAATACCTATGCCTGCAGCAGTTGATTTTTTTTGTCGTAAAACCAAAATAGTTTCATCCATGCCGACATTCCGGTCGGTTAGCGTGAGCCCAGACTGAATTCTGCAGAAACTTCACATCGATTTTCGCATCGTGATGTAAAACAAAATGTCGGAAAACTTTTCTTTGACGCATGCGCATTTGCATAAATGTCTACACACACACACACACTACACACAATAAAAAACAAAAGAAATGTGACTAAGAGTGATTACAATAGTTCCTATTGCATTACATGCATAGGAACTAAAAAATTATAGTTAGTCAATTGAATTTTATATAGCGATTATTCAACTATAATTATACAGCCTTTGACACGGATATTTCATTTCATTTCATTTTCATTTCATTTCAGTTTTATTGTCCAATTTTAAAAAGGAAAAGCAGAGCGGAAACAATTCATTGCATATTTAAAAATATAAAAAATATAAAAAATTGTACACACAGTAATAATGAAAAATAAAATATGGCATTCAAATACATTAAAATGTGAAAGAAGAATTTAGATTTAAAATTTATATTTACATTCCAGATATTTAACTCTGGAAGAAGATAATAAAACCATTTAAAAACAATTTTCCAAGTTTAAAAGCCTACGAAAATATTTCTATGTCTATCTATTTCGATTAAGTGATACCAAAAGTTTACAAACTCCAGTGTTACGTTGACGCAATCTCGCAATGACGTCATAATAATCACTGGCGGATTCAAGTGGGGCCGAGCCGACCCTAAATTTTTCAAAATTATTTTTTAAAAATGGAAAAAACAAAGGAAAATTATAATTAGAATTTAGGTCTGAGAGTGCCATTTCCGGCAATCTAGAGGCGTCATAATAAATTTTCTTTCCTCAGCCCCAACCATGGTGGGGCTGAGGTGAGCTACTTTTCCAATGTGCAAGTCCCTCCCTGTCCCCCCTCTAATTTGCTTTCCTGAAGCTGCCACTGATAATGATAAATTAAGTAAATCACCTTTATGTTAGTGAAATCAAAATGCTTACTAATGTTTTGTGTGCTCCCTATTTCCTTAGTCCTTTTCGATTATAAATTAGACAGTATTATTTCCACTCACAATAGTGTAGTCGCAATATTACTTACACAAAAGTGAAATTCAAAAAGAGGAGAAAAGCAAAAACCTCTTGATTGATTTTAAAAGTACTGTACTGTAAATGCAAAAAGACTAAGTTAATGACTGTTTTAAGTTTATCTTAGGCCTGTTTGTTTTTCATGGTTCGAATTATGAATACGTTACGAGCTAATCAGTAGATAATAAATCATTATTTATGAATGTTAGTTTGCACAAATATATAAGCGGGCATAATTATGACTAAAAGAATAATTTTAAAAAACTTTTTATGATGAGTATTTTAGTGGCAGATTCATGGGGCCCAGCCGGCCCACCATCCCTAAGATTTTTTTTTTTCCCCTGAAATTTAGAAGTGGAGAAAAATGAAAATTATATTCAAATTCAGTTTGAGAGTGCCATTTCCGACCAACTAGAGGTACCACAATCATAAATTTCCTTACCTCAGCCCCAACCACGGTGGGGCTGAGGTAATCTACACTCTCTATCTGTAAAAGTCCCTCTCTGGGCCCAGCTCTATTTCAAATTACTGGATCCGCCACTGGATATTTTGAAATTTCGTATGGAAATAAATGTTAATTGCATTGCTTAAAATCAATTAAAAGGCTATAGGCGCCAGAGCATTCGGGGGCTTCGCCACCTGGTCCCCAACCAAGGCTTGGGCCTACGGCCCAAGGCTTTATTTTTCATTTCGTCCCGCCCACTTTCAGCCACGGATCGACGCTCTTGGTTAACCCTAACCCTCTTCAGCGTACAGCACTGCATTTTTCGAAACAATAAATGTGGAATACGCTGGCTCTATTACTTGGCTAGTAGTAGGTCCTAGGTTGTGTCGTTTCTGTGGTTGTTTTTTATG